AGTCACGGGGGCCGGTGTGGTTTCTGCCAGGTGAGCTACGTCGTGTCTAGGGACTCCAGAAACTAGCTCAGGAACCTGAATCACCGTCCTGTCGGTGATGACCTCAATTGCCTGCATAGTCGATGCCTGTTCACTGATCCATTCTTTCGGAATATGGACCTTCGCATCCTCTCCTGGCTGGATTACCTGTCCGTCAAGAGATACGGCCCCATCTTCAGAGACTTGCACAATGTGTCCGCTAGCGAGTTCCTTTGTTTCATTAGGGCTAAGTCGCAGCTCTTCCTTGTCAGGCAGGACAACCTCCACGAAGGGTTTGACTCTTGCCGGGCCAGGTGTACTGGACAGCGATGTTGGAATTTTTTTGGGAGTGACTTCGAAAGGTCTGGGAGACGACAGGCGCGGTTCGACTATACCTAAGCCAAGCGCGAGTACGTCGGTAGACTTTTGGGGCCAAATGTAGTTTCCCTGTTCGTCCTTCTCCAGAACATTGTTATCTGGGCCAAGTGGCTCATTTTGCTCGTTGAGTTCCACAGGTGTTTTTCCATCAAAGTGAATTGGGGATCCGTCGCTTCCAGTTGTCAGTGGTACGCCGTCTTCATATATCACTCGCGCGATTAATCGCGGGCTTGGCGTTGTGGCTTCCCTCAGAGGAGCTCCGGGAGAGGTTGTTGGCTCTGGCGGTAGAATACGCATGGGATAGACGTAGTTACCCTGACTATCTTTCTTCAGTGTTTCACCGTCCGGACCCAAAGGTTCGCCCCTCTCGTCAAGCGTAACTGGTTCCCCGTCAGGTCCGAGCGGTTCTCCCCTTTCATTTGTTGATAAAGGATTGCCGTCAATGTCAACAATAGTTGCTCCTTTAGGTGTAGTCCCTTGGGCCGGTGTGGTTCCCCGTAGCCCCCCTTCCACCTCGGGTGGCATTCCAGAAAGCAGATCAGGAACTTGGGCGACCGTCTTGTCCGTAACGGCTTCAACTGGCTCTGGAGTCGACGCCTCTTCACTGATCCATTCTTGTGGAATATGGACCTTCCCATCTTCTCCCGCCTGGATTTCGTGTCCCTCAAAGTAAACGGTGCCGTCTTCAGATACCCGCACTATGTGTCCGCTAGGGAGTTGCGTTGTTTCATTAGGGCTGAGTCGCAGGTGTTCCTTGTCATTCAGGACCACTTCCAAGAACGGTTTGACTGCTGCCGGGACACGTGTACTAGACAACTGTGCTGGAATTTTCTCTGGAGTGGCCTCAAAAGGTGTCGATGACGACAGGTGCGATTCGCCTGTAGCTACGCCGAGCACGAGCACATCGGTGGATTTTTGCGGCCAGATATAGTTTCCGTCTTCGTCCTTCTGCAGAACATGGTTGTCTGGGCCAAGTGGCTCATTTTGATTGTTTACTTCCACGGGTGTTTTTCCATCGGAGTGAATTGGGAACCCGTCCCTACCGGTTCCTAGTGGTACGCCGTCTTCGTATATCACTGACGCGATTACTCGCGGGGATGGTGTTGTAATTTTGATTATAGGAATTGAGCCCGAGGTTGTTGGCTCTTGTGGTAGAATGCGCATGGGATAGACGTAGTTGCCCTCGCTATCCTTCTTCAACGTCTCGCCGTCTGGACCCAAAGGTTCTTCTCTCTCGCCAAGCACTATGGGCTCCCCATCGGGTCCAAGCGGTTCTCCCCTTTCATTTTTTGGCAAAGGATTCCCGTCAATGTCAACAATAGGTATCGCTTTGGACGTAGTCACTTGGGCCGGCGTAGTTCCCGGTACGCCTGGTACCTCCTCTGGTGGCATTCGAGAAAGCACCTCAGGGAACTGGGGTACAGTCTTGTCGGTGACGACTTCAACTGGCTCTGGAGTCGACCTCTCTTCGCCGATCCATTCTCGCATAATGTGGACCTTCGCATCCTCTCCTGGCTGGATTTCCTGTCCGTCAAGGGATACGGTGCCATCCTCAGAGACTCGCACAACGTGTCCGCTAGCGAGCTCCTTCGTTTCATTAGGGCTGAGTCGTAGCTCTTCCTTATCAGGCAGAACCACTTCGACGAATGGTTTGACTGTTGCTGGGCCAAGTGTACTGGTGA